TAAAGTATGAGAAAAAATTATGGGTATTTATAGGAGTAGTAGGACCCATAAAAAGTGGTGCAAATGATATTCATAAGAGTTCCATGAGTAAAGTTGCTGTACAAAGAATAATGTCAGTCTGGGTACAAAAGACTAATTAAAGTCTTGCTTAACTTGTGTACGGCTGTATTTTGAAAGATTACAATTAACAAAAAATATATTTAGTGAAAAATGACTACTTTGATTAAACATGCTTATTCTCTGTGACGGAGGGAGTATGTATTAATATGTTTACTTGTAGGAATAAAACACATGCACTTCCATTCTTAAATAAGAGTTTATTGAGGAAATACATATTGTTCATAAACAAGTGAAGACTTGCCAATTTTATACAATGACAGACGAGGACTAAACTCTCCTCCCATATTATGCTTACTTTTAAAACCGAAATATTAGTAACAATTGGCTCAAGCGAAAGGTTAGCTTCAGGAAATGATATTAATTAATAATCCCTAATTGATGGTGTCATGGTGTTGCCGTGTTGGTGTAATGGTATGTGAGCTTCTCTTCTTTATTCTTTTGAAGGATCATTACGGCATTTCATGAGCCTTTTCCCTGATGATTTCTTTGTTCAATTTGTTGCTCTATGTAAGTAAATATCAATATGTATGTGTTTGACAATATTTGGGGTGATTAATGTTATCACCTGAAAGGGTTATCCCAATTCGACGAAATTTCTGCTAGATTAAAATTCAACTACAGAATTTAATAAGACCCATGTTCCCCAACACAAAGCAAATGGTGTTACAGAGAATTGTAAAGAAAATGAAATACGAATTGCAAGAGCATCACAAATTCAGCTCAAGATCGAATATTCTTTGATTCTCATTGTCTAGGGAGGTTTATTATAAACAGCCAAATCTTAACCTATAACCATAGGCTAATCAACTTTCATGAAATTAATCTACAGATATATAACTGGAAAAAGAGGACGGACTTCCTGAGGAGGTAGAGAGAAAGGAATTGAACTTACAGAGACAATGTCAGAATCGCACCACGGAATCTGATCACCGCCGGAGAAGAAATTTCCAACCGATTCGAAGAAATTGTTGATCTTAGCATCCATGGTTGCTTATAGATATTTGATCGAGAGAGAAACAGATCAACAAAGAGAAACAATTGGGGGCTAAATTAAGCGTTTAAAATTGGGAACTGTATATATACGTGGCCTGTAGGACGCGGTTAAGTCAAAAGCGAAGAAGGAGAAAATAGACGCTGTTAAGGGTCTGTTTGCAACCGCTTCTGCTTTTAAAAAAGTGCTTTTTTTAATGAAATGGGGAAAAGTGATTAAATAAAAGTTGATAGTGTTTGAGAAAAAAGTGATTTTGAAAAGTAAAAGTGGGTAGTGTTTGATAAAATAAGTGCTTTTTGTGTAATAGAAAAAGTAAAAGCACTTTTGACGCGGAAGCCGAGAAAAATAAAAGTTGTAGTGTTTGGGAAAATAAGTGCTTTTTTAAAGCCAAAAGCTGAGAAGTGCTTTTTTAAAATCAGTTGCAAACCAACCCTAAGTGAAGTCACCCAGGGAAAAAAATGAAAGTTTGATTGTTTGAAAGTCGAAACCTTTCATAATGGTATGGAAGTTTCTATGCACGGGTAGCTCAATTAGTCGAGTGATGGGGAAATTTGGATCGGGTGGAGGCAAGGACAGACCGTAGTACAGACCCAGGGGGCGGTCCAACAAATTATTTTAGTGTATATATATAATAAAAAATAATTTTCGCCCTCCCAAAAAATATTTTGTTTAAGTTGCCCTCCCAAGACAAATTTCCTGGGTCTGCCCCTGGATGGAGGTTAGATTGGACCTCTAACGCGCACGGGTGTAGGCCTTCGTTTCTTTGTTTCGTGAAATACAAAACTAGTCTACTTTTTCTTTTTTCAAAAATATGATTAACATTTTATTCATTTAATCCAATTTTTTTCATCGTATATCTAATCCATGTCTCGTCCCGCCCGCCCTCCCCCACACACATGTCCAGTTACTACCGAAAAGGCGGAAACAACCATCAAAAATCGTCGTCGGAAAGGGAGCTAGTGGACGTGGGTTGGAATTATGTTGCTAGTGCAGGTGATGTCATGGATCCAAGCAGGGGCGGAGCTAGGGGGTGGCCACCCCTAGCCCTGACTCAATCCAAATTTTAAAAATGTCTAAACTTTTAGTGTAAAAAGTTCTACGTAATTTTTTTTCCAAAAATATTCTTTATACCGGCCCAGACGCCAGTCCGGCCCAATGTCCTGGCTCCGCCCCTGGATCCAAGGAATCAGGGTGAAGGTGTAAGTAGTTGAGTAAAAGTGGCGCATATTGGAGAAGTCATGATAGGCACATACAAAGATCAAAGTTGGATGTTAAAATTAGTGACGGAAAATACGGGGTTGGGGCGAACTTTGATCAATAGGTTCGCTTGGAAAGTTGAAGACGAATGGCGCAAGTTCTCTATTTTATTTCTTTTACTTTTAGTTTTTATTTTCTAACTTGTAATTTTGTTTTCTATTATGTTGGATTTGGACTTATTAGTCAGGACTAGGTAGGTTGTTTCTTGTCATGACAGTGGTTTGGACTTTGGAGCATCTGTTTTGGGTGTGCTCTGTAGGGTAATATCTTTCTTTTGATCATCAATAGGTCTTAAATTGCATGTTCACGGTTGAGTGGTTAACGAATGTTGTGTTGGTAACACATACAGTTCTATGTTCTTTGAGTTTCCGATGATATAATATATGTCTTCTCATCTGTTCAAAAGAAATTTAAAGTTGAAGACTAATTAGTTTTAAAAGTTACATTCTTTTTTGAGATGCTATCCACGATAAACATACAATTAGAAGTTTTTGAAGACTTCAAATAAACAAAAGTTATAAGGTAGAAATTTATGTCTGATCATTATTCTAAAAATCATTGTAGGCGTCCAACTAGTTCCCGCCTAGGCGTTAGGCGGTGGCTGGACGCCCTAATTTTAGTCCAAATGCATTAACTAATTGGTTCAACGTTTTGGTGAATTAGTCGACAACATAGGTCACCTAGTTTCTCGCCCGGAGTGTTTAGATTGTGTAGTTGGCCTCCCTGACGTCAGTCGAACATTTTTTTTACTTTTTTATTTTCTTTTTCTAAGATACGTGCATGTCCCTTTAAATTAAATCACACATATGAAGTACGATAAAAACTATACATCTTTGTGTATATTCTTAAATGTTATTATTATTTAATATTTAAATTTATTATATAATGATGTTGAGTGAGTAATATAATATATTATTAAATGTGACGGCTCTATCATTCATACATGTTACTATATACCTTTTAGTTGCGTGTGTATACTTTCTTTGTTCCTTTATAGTTGCAACATTCTCATTTTTACGTTTGCTAATACACAACTTTGACCATCATTATACTTAAATCTCTATTAGTCAAAAAAATTAAAAATCATATTATGAAAAATTGTTATGAAATGAATTCAATAATATTTTTCAAAAAAATAATAATTTCATTGCAATATTAAATAAAACATAATCAAAGTAGAGCATACGAACAGTGTAAAGTTTATACAAAAAGAGACGAAGGATAGTAGATTTTGTACACACACAATATTATTTATCATAATTATACAATGCAATATATATTTCATGTTCCTGACCAATCTCCACCTAGACGCCCGCGTAACCCGTCCAAATAGTGTGTTGGCGTTCAACTAGCACCTAACACCTTTTAAAGCATTGTGCCTACCAAACATGCGATCATGTTTGGGGCTGCTAGGGAATGTGGAGGAATAGAAGAGAGAGTACGCTATGCAGTTGCAAGTAGAAATCAAGGTTATTTTCATCTATATATTCATTTTCAATTTCAATGGGTTTACTTTAACTTAGTCATGGACCCAGGCCGGGCCGATTCCGGTTCCGGTTCCAGGCCGGGCCCGACCGGGCTTTTTTTTTGAAGGAAGAACCGGAACTGGCCCGGGTAGGCACCGGTTCCGGGCCGGTTCATGTTATTTTTTTTAAATTTCTTTTGCTTTTCTAATTAACCCCCGACCCCCCCCCCCCCCATCCCCCACCCCCAAACCCCCCCAAAACACCCAGACCAACCCGGGAGAAACCAAAAAAAATTGAAAAAACAAAAAAAGGCCAGGCCGGTTCCACTTTTAGGAGGCCCGAGCCCGGCCCGATTAATTTTGGGCTCAGGTGGCCCGGACCGGTCCTATGACCGGGTACCGGGCCGGGCCCAAACAGTACCGGTTCCGGGCCAGTTCCGGGCCGAGCGGCCCGACCCGAGTCCATGACTACTTTAACTCAGTTTCTTATCATTTACTTATGGTAGGTTGATCAAATTGTGTTCGATTTAGCTTTGAGACTTGAGAGAAGTATGTGGACCTACGTGGCAAGTGTCTCCAGCAATCTCGTATAGATGCTCCTTTTGGGTAGCTCTCCTTATGTTTAGTCATGGACCCGGGCCGGGCCGGGCTTTTTTTTGGGAAGGAAGGCCCGGGACCGGACCGGGTAGCCACCGGGTCCGGTCCAGGTCCGGGCCGGGCCTCCGGTTCGGTCATATTTTTTTTTTTTTGCTTTCCTAATCCCGCCACTCACCCCCCCCCCCCAACCCCCAAACCCCTCCTAACCATCAAGCCCAACCCGGCTAACCCCAAAAAATGAAAAAAAAAAAATAAAAAAAAATCAATTTGGCCCGGGCCCGGGCCCGACCCGGCCGGGCCGGTTCGCCAAATACAAGGCCCGAGCCCGGACCCGCCCCCCCCACCGGGCCTAGGCCCGACCCGGACCCGGACCCGAGAACCGGGCCGGTTCCGGGCCCGCAGAATGGTGGGCCGGGCCGGGCGGCCCGAACCGGGTCCATGCCTACTTATGTTCATAGGGATGGTTTTTGTGTTGAGTGGAGTAAGAAGATTGTATGTTGGATTGATTTTTTATGGTTATGTTGGATTGTTTTTCATCATTACTATAAGTCATTTCCTTTCAAACCATCAAAAAATAATTAACCATCAAATAGTAATTATGGCCATTTGCTATTACTGTAGTACAATTTTTTTAAAAAAAATTATAAACGAGTGGGGGTCTTTCATATCAAAAGTATGCCCAAAACCAAATTTTCCCTTATTGTCTAATCTTCTCATCTCATTTTTTATATTAATTGTTACCCGTATGCGAATAATGGACCTGCATGCTCCTCCAAGGAGTCCAAGCGCTCGCAACCTCCAAGGGTAAATTGTGTATTTGGATCCAAAAATCAGCTTGATCAAGTTCCGCTTTGAGCGGCCTATAAACCCACCCAAGCCGTTTCATCACCACCATTCAAAAGACCATGGTCCCTCCTGAATAGCCTGGTTGATATTCCCTTCGTGGTAAAATTGGATCAAGAATTTCGTGTCACCGATATTCTCAATACTAACTCCCTTGAACAGCCGCCAAACCATCATCATTGTTTCTCGAAATGCAATCAGACAGATATGCTTGTCTGTCACAACCCGAGTCCCGCCATGAACCTCGGCATATTTACTGCCTCCTCGCTCCCCACCACCGCTACCGATTCGAAAACAAGCTCTCTATCTTCTTCCTCTTCAATAGTGATTCTGCCACATTTCTCCGTGTGCTTCTCCATACTCTTAAGTCTTAACAAAGAGAACTCATAAACACAATTTTTATCATAAGCAAAAAGCAAGAACCATCACTCAGACAAAACAATTGGGAATAACCTTCCAAGCAAAGCCAAACAAAAACACCACTCACAAGGAGTGTAATCTTCCCTCGACAAAATAAGGAGTGCCGGACAAATAAAACAAAATGCAAAAGTGCAGAAAAAGAAGCAAAGCCACAAACTGGAAACTCTGGAGTGAGGCTGATCTTCACCAAAAATTTGCAGATTGTTCCCTCACCCTGCACGATCGGCGAACTCAAGGAGATTACCGTCACCTACATCTTTAGGGTTTTTTTCAGCCGGACATATCACTTCTTTAAAAAAATGTTCATTTTCTAGTTATTTTTACATCCAATTACAAGTGTTATAACATGATAATTGAATTTGAAGACAGAAAGAATATATATTAATGAGGATATCATTTCTGGCATGTAAAAGCGGGATATGCATGTAAATCAAAGGGGAGCTCGAAAAAAGTTATTAGCTCAAGTTCAAGCTCGAACATGCTTACAATTTTTAGCTTAGTTTAGATCGAGTTTGATTGGTTAATTTTTATATACAGCTTTAACTTTTTTATATTCTTTATCCTTTTACCTTTTTTATTTCATATATATTCTTTTTATGTTATTTATCTTATCATTTGAATCTTATATTTATCCTTATCTTTATTTTATCATTTTTATATTACCATATCTTTTCATATCTCTAATCTTTTTTTCTTTTTGGCACGAATATAATGTATGGATTCATGTTAGTCGATTCTAAAATATTTTGGAACTGAGAGTTTGATGTTGTATCACTACATCAAATTCTGCACATTCAGAAATTAGTGTGCGCAAAAAAATATCCTCACATTTGAATATTTGATGCCATCATTAAGTTGATGTGTCCAAAATTACGAGAATGGGCTAGTGATAAATCATTTGGTGCAAATTCAATTCAGACTAGTGATAGTGTACAAGAAGGTGTCAATGATGTTGATGTCATGTCACCTCAGATCAGAATCCGAGATGAACCTAAATCAAAGCGGTCAAAGAAATCCAAGGAAAAGATTGAAGATGGAGAAATAACAACACTTATGACAATTGTTGAAGCTTTTAAGGACAACATTTATGCGCTTCGTGAGAGCACGATAGCTTATGAAAAATCTCATCAAAAGCTTCTGATTTCTGAAGTTGAGCTTTGGAAGCTTTTGAAGGATTTGCATATTGAAAATCATTTGATCAACCGCGCATATATGTACCTTCTCAACAATCCTGATATGATCAAAGAACTCATTGGATGTCCGAAGAATAAACATGAGTTGCTTATTGAAATGGTGTTTGGTCCACTGGCATCTACTACCAGGCATCTTATTATGTTTTTATGTACTTTAGTTTATTTTTCAGTATACTGTTAATTGATATTGATGTTTTTTCGATTATCAATAATTTTGATATATACGGTTTCTTTGGTGAAGATGTTTGAGATTGTAAGATTTTTTGTTTCGTGTTAAATTTTAAAAATGATAGTTTATTTGATCATGATGATGAATGTAATGATGACGTTCTTTGAAAAAGGTGCTTGAGGGTGTAAGATTTTTGTTTGTTGTTAAATTATTAAAATTAAAATTTCAATAATGATGGTAAAAGTTATGATAAATGTATTTTGTTTATTTAACTATTACTTGCAAATTTTAGATATTATTTTAAACAATTTTTCTTTTTGGTTGCAGGCCATATCAGTGAAGGTAGGTGTGTGTGTGTGTGAAAGTGAAAGTTTTTTGGAGCGCATTGACTATTTTATGTTATTAATTGGAATGTGGTAGATAAATATAACTGCTAGTACTTGAAATAAAATGTGAAACTTAATACATTAAGATAATATTGTCCTATGATCTTTGAAGTTCATTATCTTCTTTTATATGATTAACTCTCAAGCAGTCAGCCACCTCGACCCCCGGGCTACAAATGATCTCCGTGTGATAGAGAAACATTCAAACATTGCCAACCAAAAATTCAATATCATGCAATTAGACAAGGATGTATATCAGACAACACTTGAGTTTTCTATGAAGTAGATCTGGATACAAGTTTTTGATAGCTTTTATATCCAGTACCCACAAAAGAATATGTAACTTAGTTTGGTTGTTGGATAAACTATAGGTGCAGTTAGAAAGATTAGTAACTTACAGGCTGGAATATGAATATTTTGTCCGAGGCTCTGAGCTTTCACTAGCCATAACTAATAGCTGCAAGTAGGCACGAAGAAAGGTGTAGAAGAGATTGTAGTTGATTATTTGGTATTAGCAGATTTAAACAACTCTTCCCACTTCTCCTGATCACTTCCCGGTCCCTCGCCCTGCACAATTTAGTTGCATCAGGAAAATGGATTTAAAATGGGGATTTAGAAATCCTTTTAATGCTAAGGCAAATTAAAAATATAAATCTACTCTGCCATCATAGAAGCACAGTGATCCAGATAATCTTGAATTGAGGAAAAGGCATTTTGCAAGACTAATTTAGCTAGCTATGTCTCAGGCAGAATTTGAGGCACTTTGATTAACACATTTGTTTGCCAAACCCAGAACACGTCCCTGTCTATTCCCTAGATGCCCAACCACTGAAGTTGATACTATGGTAAAATTTCAGAAGCAATACTTACAAGAAGTGAATGAACACCTCAAGTTTGGTTCATGTAAATTTGATGTTGCAGATTACACTAATACAAAAATTCCAATTTATAATCCCATGAATGTTCTTAATTATTATCTCTAAAAGATAAATTACCGGGATAGAGGTTACTTCATATATTTGACCCTCTGTCAAGTCTATGTCCAGGGCCTGTAAGCAAGCTTCTGCAATCACTAGCCTACTGGCTTCTCCAACAAGCTTATCCCCTGGTTAACAATTGCAAACAATTGAAAGAAATCCATAGATGAATTAAAGACAAAGAGGAACTTGTGGCCTCCTATCACTACATAAACAAAAGGCAAAAGGTCTGCATCGTTTTCCTTTTAGGTAGCGGCCACTATAGGCAGTGTGATAATCTTTTGTTGATCTTTAATAATAAATACCCCCCCCCCCCACCTCAATAAAAGAGTCATGTTTCCAACATTTTTTATCCAAAGAAGGAGTCCTGTTTGATGAAACCAAACTAATTTCTGTTTTAGCTTGCCAAGAATGAGTCACAAATGAGTTGCATAATGATTTAGTAAAACCAACATATAGGGAGTAATATATAAACATGTGTAGTTGTACACTTGTACCTTGATCAACCATGATCTTTATTCAGGACGGACGTGGTACGTACACGGGTACCAAATTTCATCTGTATTGTTTTTTGGTATAATTATCATTTATCAGTAGGAAGACCTAGTGAAAAGACACCTAGACTTTTAGGGAATGCTCACTTGCACTACATTTCATGATTTTTTTCGTTTAAGTAAACTTTGATATTTCAACTAAAAGCATTGACCTTCGGAAATTAACTCTATTCCAACAAGCAACTTATACTGTTAAGCAGAATTAGGCTAGAAAATATATACCTTGACCTATCAGAACGGCACGCCGCTCCCCTGCTGTTGCCTGTAGAAGAGTGTTCAGATCATATGACGTGTATGGTCCATCCGTCAATCTACCAGCTCTGTAAAACCCAAACAAAAACAGCTGGTTAAGTGGTTTTAATCCATTGTTTATATTCGGTATTTTATTTGACTGAAGGAATGGGAGGTGAACAATAAACGTATAATAAATAAAGAACCTGATTATAGTGAATGGGAGACCAGACTTGCAAACAAAATCTTCACCCATCTTCTTATACTTCAGAACCCCAAAAAGGTTAATGATGCTGCATAATATAATGGGAAAAAATCAAATAAGGGAAACCAATGAGAGGAATGTGGTTCATTCATCAACTGGCAATGAATGTAACCTGAGAATAATAATTGAATAGTTCTAACTTTAGCCCAAATGAGTGTAATTAGAATTTTTTTGTCCACACACGTTTTAGCCCTTGAAACGATGACACTGACCTCGTTATAACTTTTACTTAGGGAACAACCACAATATTATCTTCAATTATATTTTTGTATTTGTGCGAACAAAAATAAACACACCTAAAGACCAAATATTCTTTCTTTGACCAATAAAAAGAATTGTCAAGAGCAATGAAGAATAGAAGTTAGTGACACAGCACTTGGAGAAGTTAGAACTTAAAAGTGGCTGTATGACATTCCAACCCATGATCAATAACGGAGCGATAAGATGTTGCTAGAAAACTCATCCTCCAAAAGATTTGCTGGGTCCAGTTGTATGTTAATCATATAATCTATAACATGTGTACTTATCACATTATTCACATATCAAATTCATTTAAGGAGAAGGCTCCAAATAAACTGTAACTCAAAGTAGTACCACCCAACTTGCTCCTCTTAACCCATTTAAGATAGGAAATCCATAGACCATTAAATTAGACAAATAAGAGCAGTTGTACCTCCAAGGTAGTTCACTAAATTTTGAAACACCTATTGATGACACGAGAACAATTCTCTTCAATGATCGAGGCAACGCGCAAACAAGATTTCTCACACCCTCCCAATCTACAACAGCAATAGGCATAATTAATTAATTATAATTAATAGAATTTGCTGGAGATGGAAGAGGTGCTTCAAGATCCAACCAAATGTTATACGGAGTACATCATTCAGTAATTGAGCTATATATTATTATTTTCCAAAACATAAAAGGTAAGACAAGTCCAAAAGCAAGACCATGGTATTAACATTTTGACATGAGAAATTGAGAAACACCAGGTATGTAGCAGTTTTTATTAGCAAGCTGGGATGGGATGGGATGGGATGGGATGGGATGGGATGGGATGGGAATTGGGAAGGGCTTGGGGAGGATGTGGAGGGAGGGGGGAATGAAACAAAACCCCTCACCTTGTTTGACAGTTTGACTCGTCCAAATTTAGGAAGGGGTACATGACTACATGCTCCCAAAATAGGGGGTGGGGGTCATAAGCCTCTCCCTCGGCCCCTCCCCTTCTTTCCCGTCTGAAAACATTCACCCAAAAGGGCTTAATGTTATTTAATGCCAATAGAACTTCCATTGTGACCAACACAAGCTTAACAGAACAATCAGCATGAGCCACAGGCATTAATGCAATTAATGCAAGCTTAGCAAAACAATAGAACATCCATTGTGAGGTAGTCAAACTCGAGATCCTACGTAGGATCGGAAGGGGAGCTAAAGATCGTAAATCGTAGGATCGTGACTCGGATCGTAAGATCCTACAAATTCATACGTACATGCATATATATGTATATACACACACATATAGTTTTAATCAGATATTGAATATAGCTTACTAGTATTAATCATACTAATAATCATACTAAGTTGTCTAGAACTTAATACCAATTACAAAATACTTGATTCACTACAAGCTAAGTAATAATAATAAACTAAATTAAGTTATTAATATATTAATAATTTAATATAAAAAGTAACGATATTAAAAAGTGACACACTAAAATATAATAATAATAATAATAATAATAATAGTAATAATAATAATAAGGGTAAGTTATAGACCTATATTGACCACTAACAGTAAATTAAAGTAGTACGGATTATATTAGTAAAAATATTAGGATAAAGCAATAGAATAAAATAACTGGTGGCGTTAAAACAATTACGTAAATTAGTAATAACTAATATGTGTAAATTAGTAATTAGTAATACCTAGTTTCTGGAGGTCGCCTCCAGATAACGAGACTAACGAATAAGCCCTAAGGTCGAGTGGTCGACACAAATGATAAAGATGACGGCTGCGGTTCCTGATGTCCGATTTTTTTTTAAATTTTACCGATAAGTTTGTGTTGCTATTGAATCGCGATCCAGAAGCGATTCCACGATTTTACGAGTCTGCGCAGCGATCCTATCGATCCAAATCATTTTACGATCTTCAGCAGAAACGGGATCGCAGCACCCAGTACAGATCGTATAATCGTACGATCCTACGTGCTGGATCGCGATTTTGACTACCATTTGTGACCAACACAAGCTTAACAGAACAATCAACGTGAGCCACAGGCATTACTACAATTAATCGCATATTCCATCAACTATTTCTTAAGTTCCTGACCTACTCTTTCAGGTGTATTATCTCCAGCCCACCTTCTTGAAGGAAAAGCTGTAGTTCCCGTACAGCATATAGCATGTGTTACGCCCTGCAAGTCACGTGATAGAAAAAAGCAATTAACTTTCAGAAAACATACTACGTAGTATATAGAAATCTTAGTCCTATGAGAAGGATCTGGAAGCACTTCTAGAAACAAGCGCTAGCTTATGAAGGGAAATTTAGGGAATGAAAGAGCTGGAAGCTTCTAACTGTATAACTATCAAGCACAAACCTCAAACATGGATGGATCTAACTCCACTCGGTTCCGTGTATCAGCCTTCCATACCTAACCATATTAGAGGTTTCGTTTAAATAAAAAAATCCTATCAAAGAAAATGAGAAGTAAACACCTTTCAGCTATCTTTTGAGAAGAAAGATAAGTTTGAAGACTGGTCAAGACATGTAATTTTTCGTCATTCTGTTTTCCAAACAGAGCACTTGCTCTCGTAAGATCTCGAAGTATAAGCCGCACTCTGATGCTTTGATTTAACAATGATGCTACGATTAACTGTCCTGCATGGAGCATAACACGCTGGATCAACAGGAGAGAATATGTTCATCATCATCATCATTACCCCGGTGCCACAAAGGCTCCCACCTGCTGTGGGGTAAGGGGGTCGGATGTACACAACCTTACCCCTGTACTAAAGCACAAAGAGAATATGTTTGGGGAGTTTTCACTCTCCTTTGAAATTTGGGGATTTTCTTTGCCTTGGTTTCTTTTTAGTATGAATGCCTAAAACCAGAAAGGAAAATCCTAAAAGATCACTTCTTAAAATAGAATAACTAATAAAGGTATTTGATGGCATAATTACTGGATATCAACTCATTAAATTTGGCCCGTTAAGGTATGCCTGTAAATCTGTAATAATTAAGGACTAAGCGTGGTCATTGGTGGATACAACCCGAACATAAACAATGAGTGCATGTACCGACGAGCATGGATGAAATCATGAAATAATGTCCACAGTGAGCGGATTGGTGGAAGCTTGTGTGTAACTACATGGTGAAAAGGGACAAACTATGGTACAAGTCCAAGGAGTGCTACTACATGGTTACCATGAATGTATTATAGTAGAAGTCCAAGGAGTGCTAGTACATGGTGACATGAGCAAACTATGGTATTCTCAAGAATAAAAGACTGATCTGGACTCTTACATATTGAGCCTATTGTTTCAGCCCATCTTATATTTTACATTAGAATAACCCTTAGTATAAATACTGTAGTTTACCCTGCCCTATGTAATTTATTCATTCTAATTCTCATATCATCTTCTTCATCCGTTACTGCTTCCGCATTCTAAGCTTTGGTTCCAGTTCTGTAATTCTACATGGTATCAGATTAAGGCTTCGATCCTTACTGATTCTCATTGTTTTTATTTCTAAATCGATTTCTATAATCGATTCAATTGTTCTAATCGATTTCTGATTTGATCGATTTCTAAAAACCCTAGAATAAATGGCTCTGCCGATAAATCCAGTTGAAGATCCTTCGTCGCCCTATTATCTTCATGACTTCATCCAAGTGATCATGCTGGACTTCGCGTCATCTATGAAACGCTTTCAGGAGATAACTTTGGTGCTTGGAAGAAATCAGTCACTATGGCAATGGCGGTGAAGAACAAAATGGGTTTCCTCGATGGCTCTATCACGAAACCAGGTTCTGATGATGGTCTTTACTCTACCTGGTACTGTATTAATGCTCTTCCCTTATCTTTACTATGTCCAAGGAGTGCAAGTACACAACACAGTGAGAGTGAAAGAACTATGGTAAGAGTTTAAGGAGTGCTGGTACACAGCAACCATGGTCGCACGACAGCAGAACCTTATTAATAAGGAAGTGCGTGTGCATAGTGACCCTGGATGTGTAGAAGCTTTGCTAAGAAATACAAGATAACCCTGTACATGTACACAGTAAGGGAGTACTTGTACAAGCTGTGTGTGTACGTACAAAGCAATCGTGACCAGGTTACATCCAAAATATCATTCCAGCATCCATACGAGGTCAAGCAAACCCCGTAAATCATGGCACAGTAATATGTCAATCATGTTACAATGACCACATTGCACGACTAGTTATATACGTATTATTTTACCCTCTAAAATCATCTAATTCATGGAAGAAAATAATCAAACTGAATACATTCATTACAGTGATCTCTCTAAAAATTCTCCTAAATTAATTCTGGCTATCTCTTTTATTTTTTGATGGATTTAGTTCCATCAATATTAACTGCAAATAAAATCAATCGACTATCACTCCTCATTCTTCTACTCGATTGCTCTTTTATTTTTCCAAAATATTACTCTATATATAAAAGCATGCATCCAATTATGAATAGTATGAAAAGCACGAGAGAGGACATAAAAATTAAAAGAGTTTATTTCTATCCAGGGAAAGTGGAACGGGTAATTGATTGCCTCATAAAGAAAAACCGGAACAACTAAATGAAAATTAGGAGAGTAATACACATTACATAAGTGAAAGTAAAAAGCTATTATTGAGCTAAGAATGATGGTAAAATAAAAGAGGAATAAATAGAACTGACTCAACTGAGTAATTGAGAGTAATAATGTTGTCCAATTTTAAGATAGCTTAGACGGAAAGGGTTAAGCTTTGCAGATATAAAAGGATATAGAGCTGTACATACCAACGCCGCCGGTGCCACCAACAACAAGAACGACTTTGGATGAAGACGAGGCTGGTGGAAACGCTGCAGCGTGTTCTGTCACGGCATACACACGAAACGACGGTGAATTTGATATTCTGCTGAGAGATTTCGAATTAGAAGCGATTTTATATCCAGACGAGGGAGAATTGAGCGGAACAAGAGGTGGTAATAGCCTTCTAGGGAGGTTGTGATAGGAAAGTGGAAGAGTAAAAGATACTGTGGAAGCCATGAAGTGGCCGAATTTGTGCCTTCGTGGGCTCGGAGCAACCTCTTTCACATCCAAAGCAAGGAGCTGAATCTACAGAAATCCATATAAGGGGGTGTTTGGATCTGATTCTAAAAAGTGATTCTGCTCCTTCAGGGAGCAGAAGCAGAAGCTGGAGTGTTTGGGTGAAATTCCAGAAGCACTTCTGGAGCTCTAATTTACTCTCAGAATCAGTTTTTTTAGAAGCTGGGGGGTACCAGCTTCTGAAAACTGATTCTGATTCTGCTTCTGCTTTTAAAAAAGAAGCAGAAGCAGAATCAGTTCCAAACACCCCCTAATTTGATCATACTGGAATCCATAGAATTTCATGCAGTCTTACAAAATTCCTAAAATTCCATTAAAATTCCTGAAATATACCATCTTTATATATCAAATTTTTATTAAATTTATATTTTTTTTATAAGACTTTGTATCAGTTTTACGGGGTGTCCCCAACACAGATTTTAAATGATTTTAAAGTATTATAGATTCTATGGATTTTAATAGAATTCTACAGACTCCATGAGATTCATATGGAATTCTATGGAATTCTATTTCATGGAATTATATTGATTTCAATGGATTTTAATGGAATTCTATTTTAATAGATTTGAGATACAAGCCAATGTAAACCGCTGCCCTAGTTCCCACCCCCCACACCTGCTCAGCCGCTGCTAACCGCCGTCGAAAAAGTCGTAGGAACATTTTGATAAAAAAAATTATTCGCTCTTTTTTTTCATTTTTTCAAAATTCATTGAAAAAGGTTAACAATAAATTGCCTTCAATCTAGTGATATTTAAGGAAAAACCTCAAATTGAAATATAACAACCTTAAACAATTAGGAACCGTACTAAAGTAACAAAAGGAACCGTACTAAAGTAACAAAAGGAACCGTACTAAATAAAAGCACAACCTTAAGCAGTTAGGAACCGCAATCGAAGTACAACCTTAAACAATTAGGAACCGTACTAAAGTAACAAAAGAAATAGATTCAATCTATCTAATCTTCATTGATAACATCCGTCCACATTTGTTGTGCAATATCATTTCTCCATTGATTTGCATATTGCCTTTCTTCATCCTGTGTTTGGAGATTGTCAATTTCATCTTCGTCGTCTTCTAATAAAGATTCATCTGAAGAGTCTTCATCGTCTGAATCAACAGGAAATTCATCTGAGCGACACTCTTTGCGTAGAAAGTTATGCACTCCTGCACAAGCCAATACTAACTCTGCTTGCGTTTTGAATGGGAACGGAGGGGCTGACTTAAAAATCGCAAATCGTGATTTAAAAATGCCAAATATTCTCTCAACAACATTCCTCAAGGAAGCATGACGTAAATTGAATAACTCCCTTTCATTTTCAGGATGACGACCTTGCCCACCAAAATCTTTAAGATGATATCGAACACCTCGAAATGGAGCCAAAAATTGACGTCGATTTGCAAATCCACAATCAACTAGAAAACACTTCCCTAAATGACAAATGAAATAGATGATAAATTACTATACGACACAATAAAAAATACCTTATAGTGATAAAAATGATGCTTACCTCGTGGAACTTTTAACCCATTTCTTCTCGTCAGTGCATCATTTAATATTTTTGAATCATGAGCTGAGCCTTCCCAACCACTAAGAATATAAATGAACTCCAAGTCAAAATTACAAGCCGCCAACACGTTTTGGGATAGTTTTCCATGGCGATTACGGTAAGGGGTCACATCACGACCCTCAACTATCGCAGGTATATGTGTACCATCAATTGATCCAATACAATCCTAGTAAGAAAATAAATAATAATTTTAGAATTATAATAAGAAATTAAAGTTTTATAGGAGCTAATAAATGATTACCTTAAAGTAAGGATAAAACCGTGTACTCTCTCTGATTTTGCTAGGAACAGCAGCTGCCGGTTTCACCATCATCATGGAAGAAATTGTGTTTAAAGCCTTCAAAATTTTGTTAAAATTTCTGCTAGTAGTAGAATGTGCTCTACCAAATGTCTTGCGTGTGATACAAAAACGGCTGTTTTGACCAACCGTGAGTAAAAATGTCGCAAGCATTTCTTCCACGCAAACATAACGGGTATCTCGAAGCGGTGTTTTTTCCCTAATGATGCTACAAAGTTTTAGAAAAACATCGGGGTACATCCTATGCATTTTTCTAAAATGCGCAGGGTCTTCAGTTAATACTGTATTTATGTAATTAAATCCAATGGTGGTGATAGGTCTGCGAGTAGGACGCTCAATATACTCTCCCTCATGCATTAACAGTAACAGGTCACTCAACACTTGAAGTATTGCTTCAAGAGCTAATAAAATTAACTTCAACATCTCATAAAATTCTTCACTACTTGTTTCCCTCATTTCATCTTCCATTTCATCCAACCTATAAAAACATTTAAATGTCATTTTAATTGGAATTTCACAACAATAAATGCAATAAGTAATTAAAAATAACACCAGATGGTATAAATAAGTCATAAAAGTCATAAAACAGTAACAAGGAATATGATCAGTTCAATTACAAAAGTGTTCAACAAGAAAGGTTGCATCAGAAATAAAAGTTTAATGAAAAATAAAGTAAAGAAAGCTACCTAAATCAAGCATAGTCTTCTTCGATGTTATAGATTATCCACTCTTGACGCTCTTGAGGTGACATTTTGAGAAACGCTTCTTTCATTCCAAGCTTATATATGAGCTTAGGGACTTTGTAGCGTGTGCGCTCATCTAAATTCGGAGTCTCTTTTATAGCATCCCATATGTTGTTCTCTGATTTCCTTTTCTCCTTTTTTTTCCATCAATATCCTCATTCCTCTAATGTCACTAGCAATCTCTACAATAGAATCCATTCCACTAGCAACCTTTGTCTTAAATTCAGAACGAGACTCGCTGCTTTTTGCCTTAGAGCTCACTTCACATTGATCTCTGGTTTGCTTCTTAGAACCGCTACTCTTATGAGCACCACGAGACTACAAAAGAGAAGATTATATATATTATGGAGTAAGTTAATTTTGGATAGTATAATTAAATATTAGTTATTTAAGTAGTTGTAGGATTATGCTATACCTCTAAGTAGTTTTTCCACACTTCATCACTCGCAGTGAATTTTTTTGTAATTGGGTCCCACCCAAACCCCGAACTGAACTTCATAAGATCAACATATTTTTGATATCTTTGCTTGAAGTACTTCCACCGACTTTGATATTGTACGTATGTCTTTTGACATCCAAGCTTTTCATTCAGCACCGGGAGTATTTTTGATTCAACAGTTTGTTTACTAATGAGTCCACTACTATCACGCCATCCACGTTGAGCAGCCTCAACCAAAAGTTCTAGTAATAAAGAACTTTCTTCTGCACTCCAGAAATTATACGCACCTTTTCCCTTTTCTTGTGAATCACCCATTGTAGAACTACCAAAGAAGTTATACTTATTAAGCATAGTTTAGTCAAAATTAATTGAGACAAAGATAAATTATTGTATGTTAGAACATGTTATTTATACTTTTTTTAATTTAATTAGAAGTTTCATTTGTTAATTATTATTAGCATATTATCTTATAAGCACATAAACAATTTAAAAATGTCTGTTTTAAACTTGGTTCTAATCAACACGTTTTATATCTTTAGCCATTATTCCTAATTAAGAAGTTAGGAAAGGTAACAATAGGTTCTAACATGTAAGCACTGTTAATAAAGTAGCATTAAAATGCAAAATCTGTGTCCCATACAAACAGGAAGTAGGAACTATCATCCTACTTGGCAAACAATTGATTGAGTTTGGGAGATTCAAGTTAAAATCAAAAGTAACAATACTTTATTTAGCACTAGAGTAAAAATACATTAGCACTACAAACAATCAAAAGTAAAATTCCTTTATTTACGTATTATGAGTGTTGTAAAAATACTTTATTACTAATATACTAATGGCTTCATAAATATCAAATTAATCACTTGGCCTTGATATAAAGATACACATATGGAGTTATAGTTAAACAAGCCTGGAAACTATAATTTGGACAATTCAAATTATACACGTATGGAGTGTATAGTTAAATATAAAGGAGTGTTTACACGTATAATAATTCAGCAGAGTGAAAGCGAGTTTTTATGGTAAATACTATGTATATAATGTTAAAAAATGGTAAATACTAGTATGCATATAGTAAAAATACCAACATGTAACTCAAAGCCAAACTTACAGATCGATATAACAAAGAAAGCAAGCATTAAAAATAGTCCACCAACATAAAAATGTAAGTAGTTTCATAAGCCAAACTTAAACGGATGAACATGTCGATTCATAAGCATTAAAAATAGTCCATTAGCATTACTTTTGAATACGAAAGTAATACTGATTAACCATAAAGCTGAATACTTTTTAATACTGAATGCCGATGCCACACTTTTTAATGCTGAATACGAAAGTAATACTAATTAATCAGTATTAAAAAAGCCACACTGAGAATACAAAGGCTCGATTAAGGCTCGATTTTTAAAAAGGCTGATGAATACGAAAGTAATACTGAAAAAAGGGATAAGCAATGACTTTCTGGAGATGCTTATTATGCTTATAATCGAGTATAACGGATGAAGAAGGGATTATGCATCAATAAGCATCGACATCGATTCTTACAAGTTCACTACTAGATCAGCATAAAAATCAGAAAGGCATCGACATGAGAATGACATAAAAATCTGGAGAAAACCATACCTGGAGAACACTTGAAGGATGAAGAAGGTGAGTGTAGTTGGAAGATGGAAGAGAACCAGGGAGCTGTGTCGATCAATTTCCCGGGCGAGATGGCGTGCGCGGGTTTTTAAAAAATGGATTTGGAAATCCAAGGGGTGTTAGGGAGATTGTTGGTGGACTCAATTATTCAATATTTTGGTCTAAAAGTCCATCAAAATCTTTTAAAGTCCATTAACATATAAATCTATGGAATGTTTGAGGATACCTGGATTTTAATATAGATTCTTTAGAAATCCATATTGAGGATACCTGGATTTTAATGGAAATCTAAACTCTATTAAAATTCATGTTGGGGACACCCCCCT